TATTATCTAAGTATAAGATTTGAAATAAACGAGCTGATACAAATGAATTTGTTTTAATAAGACACTCTGAGAAACACTTCCAACACGTACGAAGTATATCACAGAACTGACTTGAAATGTAGGTACGTGTAATTGTAAAACTAGATATATTAAGCATTGAATAGGTAGAATAATTAGTAAAGATACGCCCGAAGAAGCCATTGTATGGCGAAACACGTGTTGCGTTGTCGTAAAATTTCTAAGTGAAAATCTCACAATAAAGTGTTATTCATCTATAGTCAATTTTATATCGATAGTGAACAAAATAAGCTCTACTGATACTTTTGATAATTCAGAGGAAACCGGTTAAATTTATAGAATGTCCTTCAAAAATTAAGAAAAGGTGGTTTTTCAGAAAACCCTTGGAAGAAGTAACGGTTGCTGATAAAAATGAGCATGCCGAAATGGAAATGAAAATTTAGTTGATGGGAATTCGTTGTTTAACCATGTGGCGTTTCCACCAGGAGGAAAATTCAAAAAATGAAAATTTATTGCTAGCCGCCAGTTGTTATATCCTTCTTTCCTCTTATCCAATTTTGGAAAAATGAAACGCCAACGTTTTTGGATGAGACCAAGCTCAAAAAAGCGAGGAAGTTATTCCATTAATGAATTGTTAGTTCAGTTACGTGAGGATAATATTGGACTAAATGGTAAGATTCGTTCAAGCTTTAAGAATTTTCTAAGAATGTCCACCGAAGATTTTGAGAATCTGATATGCCTTGTTGGTCCTGCAGTTGCCAAAAGACATACTAACTACAGAAATGCTATAAGTGTAACAGAAAGGTTAGCAATAACTTTTGTGTGGTGCCGCTGGATGGATTTGAGTATAAATGTTGTGTTGGCGCTGTGCGGATTCGAATATAAATTTTGGGTGTCGACGCTGAGTTGATGTAAGTGCGAAGAAACAGCCAAGAATGCTATCCGGAAGCGAAGAAATTGTTCTAATTGGTGTTGTACATGGGATGATGGCGGCTCATTGGGGTTACTATTATACTTGCCCATTTCAGTGTCATATAATAGATTGTGGATTAAAAATGTTCTACGGTGGACTGGGCATAGGGTGTGGGTAGACCTCTCAATTTTTGAGCTACCAATTCACCTATTATGTCAAATTAATCAGGGTTTTTTTGTGATTGTTCTTGCCGATCCTTATGTAATGATGTCACATGTTGTAGACTTCTTCATTCCTACGCTCCACGTTTTGTGATATATCCTTCCGTTTAGCAGCCTTGTTTATCTTCGCATTTTCAGAAGTTTCTTGAATGTCCTTCACTTTTGATTTTTCCTTTGCTGCCATAGAAGATGTAAGTTTGACATCAGTCACCACAGTATGTTCTGCATCCATAGTCTCTATTCTTTCAATCTCGGTTGTCTGTTGACTGTCACTTGGTATATTTCCAGTGTCATCTGGTTCAGTTTCATCTAGTGACGACTGTGACGAGTCAGATTCCTGAAAACAAAAAACAAATTGAATTTTCTAGTAAAATTCCATCCAAATGCTTAAATTTATTTTCTTAATTTCAGACTCCTACAAATGAAGCCGAACGAAAAAAGATCAGTGCAGATTTTGAGAAGATTTGGAATTTTCCTCACTGCCTTGGTGCTATGGATGGCAAGCATGTAGTCTTCGAAGCCCCCATACATACCGGTAGTGAATTCTATAATTATAAAGGTACATTTAGCATTGTTTTGTTTGCAGTTATCAATGCAAACTATAACTTCGTTTATGCAAGTGTGGGCGCCCAGGGACGTATTTCTGATGGAGGAGTATTTAAGAGCACATCTTTTTATAAATTGATGGAAGAGTCTTCGTTACATCGCCCACAAAATCGTAACCTACTTGGTAGGCAATTACCTGTCCCATATGTCTTTGTAGCGGATGATGCATTTCCCTTGACAACTGCTATAATGAAACCATACAGTGGGCATCAAGAAAAACACTAAAAAAATCGAGTGTTCAATTATCGGTTAAGCAGAGCACGTAGGGTAGTTGAGAATGTTTTTGGTATACTCGCATCTGTTTTTCGTGTACTGCGTAAACCAATGTTATTGCAGCCAGAGAAGGCCAAAAAATTGTATTAACATGCGTATTGCTTCATAATTACTTGAGAACAAATGTAACAACCATAAACAGTTACACTCCCCCAGGAATATTTGATAAGGAAGATTTGGAAACTGGAACAATAGACCGAGGTTCTGGGAGACGAGATACCCAACCTACCGCTTCATTATTACCCCTTATGAACATTCCACGAAAAGCAGCCATGGAGGCATGGGCCATCAGAGACGAGTATGCTGACTATTTTATGACAAACCTAGGCCAAGTACCATGGCAGTTACAGTACTGTTAAGTTGTATACTTATAAACTTTTTATTATCAATTTTAATGTTTTTATAATGGTTTCATGTAATTGCATGTTTGCATGTGTGACAAAAGAAGGTACCTACTTACTTAACTATTAAGAAAAATTGATATTTTTTGACATATCTCGTATTAGAGTGGAAAGTTTCAAATTTATGAACAACTTTTTTCCTTAAAATTGATAATAAAAATGTTTTCCATATGGCTACGACCGAGGCTACGAGTTTAGTTGACATAATTTACCGATATTCTTGAAANGGCTACGAGTTTAGTTGACATAATTTACCGATATTCTTGAAAATAAAAATTATAAATGATCTACTTACGTGTGTTTCTCTTGAACATCCAGCTTGCAGGCCCTTTCGAGGCTTATTTTTGTCTTGTAAAAAACTTAGCAGTTCATATCCAAACCATTTGGAAGTGAAATGTTTACCGGCCCCCGATTTCTTCATTTTCTTATAGTTTCTTCTTTCTCTCTTATACTGGCTGTTAATATTCCTTATTTTCTTTTCAACATCAGCCACTGACTTTATATTTAATTCTAAAGAAATCTCTTTCAGTGCATCGGCTTTCTTGTAACGATTTTTATAGTCTTTATTCTTAGGGTCCCATAATAATGGATGCTCCCTGTACAATTCTATCAATTTGTAAGTATTTTCCGTGTTCCACTTCTTTTCCCCCGACATTTTAGTAAAGACACGCCACAACAACACAACCGAACTACATTTGTGTGATTTTTCACTGATTTACTACCTGGTCACCTAGTTTTGTCAGCGCGCACCGTCCACACTGGACCGACAACTTGTAAAATATGCAGACAAAACAGAGACCCTTTGATCTTGTCTTGTCGTTGTTTTGTCTGCTTGGTCTGGACCCGGCATTATATGTTAAAGGGCAGCGTTTTCGATGCAAGCTCTCAGTCTGAAGTCATCACTCGAGGGTCACCCTGTACATAACAGAAAGTGATAATAAACAACAAGGTCGGATATGACATGATAAAATGAAAAAATATGCTGTCTGGTGTCAGTGACCAAAAACTTATTTAGTAAAAACTGTCCACATCGATATGGATTTTCTTCCCATATCAGTTGAATTCATTTATTCATTCATTCAATTTCCGTGAAATTATACAAAATCTAATTCAAACTCTAGAGGTTCAATTTACAGTAAAGACAAGCACATTTGCAAATCGTAAACCAATCGGAAAAACCAAGAAATATTCTATAACTTTGAATGAAGTAAGAATCTCCACTTATGCAATAATCTCAATAATCACACACTGGAGGCTTCTGACAAAAATATAAGTTATCTTTGATAATAAATATGGCAACAAGGCAGGTGCAGGATTGTTGAATAACTGAAACTGAATATTCATGTAGGACGCATGAATAACTTCAATGTATACAATTAATATACAATGGATTCAACAAACATTCTTTCGATTGAAATCACCAGCGAAATATGTATAAATTTTTTTATAGATTCTCATTATATTTACCGTTCAGGGAAACATTTGGCCGGTAATTTAAGTGAATAGTTTTTTTTACATGGAACTTTATTCGAGGAGATTTATTTCAAAATCTAGGAAAGAAAAGTGAACAATATTGGCGACAATTAATATTTTCATTCCCCAGTTTTTCAGCTTATGCCGATAAGCTGAAATTTGTTTTTTTTTTACCAAATGATTATTCAGTTTTATTTTTGTTGTTTGTTGTTGTTGTTTGTATCGAAAATACTCATATGAGTAGTTTTGTTAAAATTTTTCACGGCTAGATTGTCAGATTTCATGGAAAGAACAGAATTTCGTAGAATAAAAATGAAAGGAACATCGAATTTTTTTAAATAAACATTCTTCGTAGGGTTTTATGGGGCAGTGCGGAAGCTGCACTTTTTTTATTTGGGAACATCGTTAGACAAATCTGAATGAGAGCTGTTCACTCAATAGTGGTAAAATTAAAGAAGAAGATTTTAGCTTTTTTTTCTATCCTGAATTCAGCGGAGTCGGGGGCTTCAACCTTGAGTTTGGCACTTCAGGAGATGTCAAGCCACACAAGTAGACAGTGAATGATTCGTCGTTTTTTTTTATATTTTTTTTCCTCGCCACTTGACACCATACCATTATATATAGACAATACATTGTAAAAAAACGGTAGAAATTAGTTTCATACTGATGATTTCTTTTATTTTTTTTTGACATACATGACACGTGCCTCTCGCTCTGGATCCAAACCTAGCGGCTATTTAATTTTGATGTTATTTATGGTTTCTTTTGGTTATCTTGGAACCTATATTAATTTCTGCCACATTTGATCGTGACTTAATTATATTTCAACTCTAAATACAAATTGTATGTATATAGATATTATTTATTGATATAAATTTATATACTGACAAACAATATGATATTTTCGTGAAGTATTTATAATAAATCAGATCATTATGTAATTTTGTTTATTGGTGATAAATCAGTTCATTATGCAATTTTTTTGTTTGTGACAGATGTGCTTAAGTTCATTTGGTAATTTAGGAACATCAGACAAGTATTCGGAAGGGGTAAAATTACCTGGCGCCCAAAATTAAAATTTAACTTGCATATTTCCCCACTCCCGTCTTCACTCAGTTAGCCGGAGCCGAATTCTTGGGCTGTCACAGTGNTGATAGGTACAGTATGTCGGATACAGGACCATATCAAATTTATGTGGAGAATAATAGCGATGATTTTCGTGGAAGAATCAATGCTGTAAAGGTAGGTGATATAATTCTTTCAAATTTTCCTGAAGTGGATAATAAGATTATTAGCTTAGACTCGATAGGAAGAAACAGAATCAGAATAAAAATGAAAGATTACAAATCTGCAAACTATCTTATTGATCAAAAAAATTCACCTAGTTTGAAAAATAATAATTTGGAATTATATATTCCCAGATTCATTGTCGTACGGCAAGGGGTTATTAGGGATATAGATACCGTTTTTTCGGAAGAATATATTAAAAACAAAATCAAACCATTTGATATGCATTGCAATTTTCAAGTCGAGAATGTTAGACGAATGAATAAAAAAATTACAAAAGACGATAAAACAGAATATGTTGCTACAAAATTGTGTATAATTACTTTTAGAAGTCAGGTACTCCCAAAATATATTTCAATTAATAGAGTGAGAATTGAAGTTGAACCCTACATTCAAAAAGTGTTATTATGCTATAACTGCTTTCGATATGGGCACTTAGGAAAACAATGTAAGAGTAAACCACGCTGCATTCAATGTGGCAAACAGCACAGTTCTTCAGACTGTCAAAATTCTAATCCCGATCCAAAATGTTTCAACTGCGGTGGATTTCACTTAAGTACAAATATGAAAATATGTCCGGAATTCAAAAGGCAAAAACAAATCAAATAAGCAATGTAAAGATTTGAATCAAGTGCTATAACCCTATTATTTATAAAAAAGTTTGACAATTGTATACTCAAATACCCCATAAATCTGTTTTCTTTGACTTTTAAATCTTTACAACTCATAAACTATTCGACATACTTGAATAACTGAATAGAACTGGCTGATACTTCCATCCATATTAAGAAACTAATCAATACAGTTTGTTATATGATTTTCACTATAAGGGTTTTACAATAAAACAGCGACACATGTTTCGCTATACAATAGCTTCTTCAAGCATAAACTTGTTTAAACATAAACAAGTTTGTTCAAGCATAAACTTGTTTATACAGCGAAACACGTGTCGCGGTTTTTGTAAAACCGTTATAGTGAAAATCATACAATAAACTGTATTGATTAGTTTTCTATTCGACATACGACAAAGACACTTCGAGTCTTTTTGTTCTCCTTTTAATAATGAACAAATAGCATTCAAAACAAATGCCTAATTTCATTATTCATCAACTTTTTTGACAATTATTT